CAATCTTATTGCAACCTACTTATCTAGCTTTATCCCATTTTTCTCCCTCCTCATGTGAAGTCGATACTAAGGCCAGATCAGACTTCCTGTTATTCCCTGAATGTGCTGCCTTACCTTTGTTCATTCTCCTTCCTGCATCTGGAACACTACCCACCTTCCATTTCTGCCTCCTTGCATTCTAGCTCAGTTAAAATACTAACTTCTTTTTGAACCCTTTGCCGATTCCCTCCCCAAGATGGAATTACTCTCTCCTTCATTTGACCTTATAGCATTTTGCATTCTTCTTATGAACCTGTTATATTCTAATTTTACATTATATTTATCTGGTTATTTCCCAAACATTTCCACAATAGACCACTGGCACTCTGGCCATTTTCCTCATACTACTCTTTCCCTTCCAATCGGAACCTTCAACTTAGTCCCTGGGACACTGGACTCTGAGTAAATGAAGACTTGCCCTTATCTTTCCCAGAATGAAGCCTCCTTCACTTTCTAGTCATTTAGAATAATGATGATGGTGGTGATGATAGCCAGCAGTTACATAGAATAGCTGAGTTTGCCAAGAGCTTTACATTGCTTATCTCATTTGAATCCTCATAGCAACCCTGTAAGGTAGGTGCTATTATTATCCCCATTTTGCAGATGAAGAAATTGAGGTTGAGAAAGTCTAAACGACTTGTGAAGATTCACACAGCTAGTGTCCAAGGCAGAATTTGAACTGAGGTTCCTGACTCCAAATCCTCTATTCACTAAGCCAGTTAACTGCATCATTTCCACAACACGCCACAAGTGGCATCCCTACTCCTTGTTTCCCTTTATATGTTGTCTGCCTTTATTAGAATGTAAGCTCCTTGAGAGTAGGAACTATCTCCTCTGCTTGTATTTGCATCTCCAAAGCTTAGTACAATGCCTGGTATATAGTAGGTATTGAACAAATGCTTTATCATTATTTCATTCATCTGCAGACTTTTCTTATCTTCCCTACCAGGCTGTAGTCAATTAATCAATAAGCATTTATTAAGTGTCTGCTATGTTCCAGGTACTGTACTATACTGGCACAGGGCCAAGGGCCACATCTCTTAGTTATCTCTCTCCTAGCATCTATTAGTCTGAATTACATATAGGAGGTACTAGATAAAATGAATGGTAGGTCATTTATCTGATTGGCATATGGAACTAGACAGTAATCAATCATTCAAAAAGCAATTATTAAATACCTACTATGTGCTAGGCACCATACTATAAATATAACCTCCATGAGGGCAAGGATGACATTTCTTATTTACGTTTTCATTTTGCCTAGTGTCTGTTAAGGTGAATTATATATAGGAGTTGCTTAATAAAATAAAATAATAAAATAGTTAAATGACTGAATAAAAGGAAGGAAATGGGCTATCAAAATTACAGGGCGTATCAAAGGGAAATAAATGTTTCTTAAGGGACTAGAAAAAGAGTAGGTCATTTCCTCAGGAAGCCTTCATCAAAGCTTAATTTTCCAATTTGCAAAAGGCACTGGAAAAAAAAATCTTCAAGTACTGGGTCATGAACAATAGGCCTAATACTACTGATACAAAGTAAAGAATAAATGTTTCACCTTTCAAATGAGAAATGAGGTCTTTCAGGCCAGCCATTTAGTGTATGCAATGTGGAAAGCATACAGGGCTGAGTCAGCATAGCTGGGTGTCTGTTACGTGTGTGTGTGTGTGTGTGTGTGTGTGTGTGTGTGTTACCTGTATTTCTAAGATATGGCACCTCAGTTCTGGAGGCTTTGCTCCCTCATCTGCAAAATGGGGATAATAACTCCTTTACCTTCTCCGCCAGATGGGCATGGCTCAGTGTACTTTGTGAGTGGTGTTACATTCTATTTTCAAGGTGATGTGAACACTGCATCTGTTTGCATTTACTTGTCTTTCCCTTAGCCGGGAGAAAGAGGAAGTTAAGGAGCAAGTGACTTAATTGGAATGTGGGTAGAATGCCCAAAATCTTGCCAGGCAATTAGATAAGGCTTCCTGATTGACCAATGAAGAGTCAGTCTGGAAAGGTGAATTATCTAGTGGGCACAGGTATGTGAACCCCAATAGGTGAAAGGCTCTGGGGCAGCTTGTACTTTGTTCCCCTCTGGAATCCTGAGGAAGCTGTATGTTCTATATGATCATCATCAAGTCAGTCAATAGGCATTTATTAAACACCTAGTTGTGCCAAGCACTATCCTCAGCCTTGGGGATATATAGAAAGACTAAGAAAAAAAAAAAAACAAAAAACAAGAAAAAACTAGCCCTGCTCTCAAAGAGTTCAGTCTACTAGAGGATGTAGTAGGACAAGTTAGCAGAATAATACAGTGCAAGGAGCACAGAATTCAATAATAACAATAAGAGGTTGTCTTCCCTATTCGATGGTAAACTCCTTGAAGTCAGGGAGTATCTTTAGCTTTCTTTGTATCCCCATTGATTAGCACTATGCCTGGTACATAGTAAGTACTTAATAAATATTTATTGATTGATTAATAATTAGCATTCACATGACATTTTAAGGTTTGCAAAGCACTTTATATACAACATCTCATTTATTATTCAGAACAACACAGGGAGAAGCTAAGTGGCACAGTGAATAGAAAACACTGGCCTTGGAGTCAGGAGTCCAAATCCAACCTCAGACACTTACTAGTTGTGTGACTCTGGGCAAATCACTTAACCCCAATGCCTCAAAAAAAAAAAAAAAAAAACAACCCACTATGAGGGAAATGTTATCCCCACTTTATAGATGAATAAACTGTGATTGAGAAAAGTTAATTGCCTTGCGTAGGATCCCACAGCTTATAAGTAACTGATTGGCATTTGAACTCAGGTCTTTCCCTGACTCCAAGTTCTGTGCTCTATCTCCTTTGGCACCATCAAGTTCCAAGAGGATTGACCACTGTGAGGAAGGGGGCTTTCTAACCCTAATGATGCTATATAAGTGTAAGTTATTATAGAACTAGAAAGGACCACAGTCTCATTTTGTCTTTGAGGGAAGTAAAGTCCCAAGAGGCTGAGTGACCCAAAGGTTTGATTTATTGTTTTGTTGATTGTGTAGACTTAACAATGTGATGGAGAAATTGTTCATAGCAGAGATTAAAAACTTTAAAGTATGTCCTTCCCCCACTCCTGAGCCAGCTGCTAAACATTTACCAGCATACCACTGACTAGACTTGGAAGTGAGACCTGAATTTTACCTCCAACTTTGCCATTAATTAGATATGTGGCCCTAAGTCATATTTCCATTTTTAGGGCCTCAGTTTTCTCATTTGTAAGAAGGAGATAAAAATGTGGCAATATCTACCTTAAGGGACTACTGGGGAAAAAAAGAGTTTTGTAAATTGTATATCAGTACAGGACCTTGCAAATAGAAGGTGTTTTAGATAAATGTTTGTTGAATTAAACTATAAACTACTGCCAAGATAAAAAAAAAATACCTTTGTTCCCCCAGCTCCCTGAGCAATTCAGATACCTGCTGAGATGTGAGAGTAAAATTCCTGGATGCTCCCTGACAAAGAGCTCCAGGAGGGGAGGGCAAAGTGCCCATCACAACTACTTCTATTCCAGGACAGTCAAATAAATGCTCCAAACTGGTGGGATGCAGCAGGATTCAAACAGGTTAACTCATTTATTTTCACAACTCAAATCAGCTGCAGCAGCTACTTAGCCCAAAATACTCTCCTTTAAAATTGATACCATCTGTTCAAGCCCTCATCGCCTCGTTCTTACATTATTTAAACAGCCTCCTAACTGGACCTCCTGCCTCCCTATGCATGCCCCCCACACCCAGACTCATCCATTTATCACTTACTGTCAGAGTAATCTTCCTAATCTACAACTCTGATCAAGTCACTTTTTTTTTTTTGTAGAGGCAATTTAGGTTAAGTGACTTGCTCAGAGTCAGACAGCTAGTAAGTGTCAAGTATCTGATCTGAGACCGGATTTGAACTCGGGTCCCCCTGACTCCACGGCCTGTGCTCTATCCACTGTGCCATCTAGCTGCCCAAATCAAGTCATTTCTTTACAAAAAAGTCTTCAGTTTGTGAATCTTTGCTTCCCCATTCAAAACCTGGTTGCCTATGACATAACATACAAACCCCTTAGCCTGGCATTCAAAGCTCCCCGACAACCCAACTCAGACCATCCTTTTCAGCTTTCCTTCTTGCTACTTCCCTTCAATATACTCTGTATTCTGTATTCATATACCCAGCTACTCACTGGTTTCAGATCTCATCTTTCCCTCTCACTCTGCTCATTGACACATGTCCTCCATGCCAAAGATAGACTCTTTTCACATTTCCCACTTTTCAAGGACCTCCTCAGGTATCACTTCTTCCATGAAGCCTTCCCCAAGCCCTCTAGCTAGAAGTGATCCCTCCTTCCCTAATCTCCCATCCTTCCTTTCCACTTAACATATTCTATTAGTTATTTGTGCAAATGTTTTATTCTCCAATCATGTTGTAAGCTCCTCAAAGGGCTATCATATTTTTTGTAATCATAATACCTAGAGCGCTGGGTACTTTTTTTTTTCCTGGAGGGGGAAAGGGGTGTCCAGTCCTGTATTTCATCAGTATGAGGAAATATGAGGAAATTCCACCTACCAATGCTGATCAATAACTTCTCTGAAACTTACAGTCTCAGGAGAGTTGCTGGGAGACCAAGAGATTAAATCACTTGGTCAAGGTCAAACATCCAGTATGTGTCAGACATAGAACTAGAACCTTGGTCTTCCAGACTCCAAGGTCAACTTCTTCCCCATTGCCATGCTAATACACATCAAAGTAAACTGGAAAAAAAAAGTAGCCCTTTTCTTGATCCAACCAAAGTAAACTGTCAGTCTTAGGACTCACGCATACAAGATGGCCCTTGCTTACACAAAGCAGAGAGCCCCTCTCCATTTATTTTTTTCCAGACAAACTCTCAGTATTTTTCTCACTGATTGCCCCTAAAGAGCATAAGAAGAGGGTAGCAAGTCCAGTTACTTACATCAGAGGCTGGGCCCTTATCAGCACCTGGGCAGGAGAAGGTGACAAATTCATGGCATCTCTTGTGGACTACAAAACAGCACACTGAAAGAGAAAGGGCAGTAGACATACAAACACACACAAAGAGATCATTAAGCCAACGGTCAATTCAAAGTGTTTATACCAAAATGGACAGAGACAAAATTCAGCAAACACGTTTTTTCATGAGTTGTGCCCCCAATTTTCAGAGCACTCAAATCCTTCTCTGGGAGTCTTTGCTTTCTGGGGCTTGAGGGTTATGTGGGAAGCTTGCCTAAAAAGCCCTTTCCTACAGTTGAGGGTGTTCAGAAAGCCTTTCTTCATAGGATTTTAGAATTTAGAGTTGGAAAGGACCTTAGCTAATCACTAGTTTAGTCCAAACCTCCCACTTTCAGATGAGGAAACAGAGGCTGAGACACAAAGGGACTTGTTCATTTCACTCAGATAGTAAATCATAGAGTCAAAACTGGAACCTAAGTCTACTGGTTGTAAAGGTTGAATCTTGCTGAGTGAAGGTCATTGAAGAAGCAGCTCCAAAAAGGCCATTTAGGAGCAAAAAAAGAAACTAGTAGCTTATGTGACTTTGAAAACAACTTCTTTTGTCTTTCCCAGAAAGAATTTGAAGCAACAGGTCCTATCTTTCTGGCTTCACATGGGTCTAAGGCTATGATGTTTATAAAGTGATGCCCTCAAAACAAACCTGTGAGGTAGGTAGCAGTTTAAATCTTATACCCATTTTTACAAATGAGGAAACTGAGGCACAGAGAGGGAACATCTCTTGCTCATGGTCACAGGGATACTGGGGGGTAGATCTCATAGTCAAACTCAAGCCCACTCACTCTACGGTCAGCATTCTTTCCCACCTCCCGTGAGTGCCTGTGGAGACAACAGCCCAGTCACGACCAGTATCTAAGTGTTCTACAGAGCCCTAGGGACAATCAGGCAAAGCCTTTCAGTGTTATTCAGTGGCTAGAGCTCAGGATCTGGAGTCATAAAACTGAGGTAAATAATATGTTATTATCCCCATTTTATAGATGAAGGAATAGCCTCACAGCAATAAAGTGCCTTGTACAAATGACACAGCTGGTTAATGTTGAGGCCAGGTCACCAACTCAAGTCTTCTGATACCAGGTGCAGTGGTTTTCCGCAGTGCTTTCACACTCAACAGAAAACCACCAGCTAAGAATGCAACCAGCTAAAAGCAAATCAATGAATATAAGGTGATCTAAGGTAGTTGTCCTGCTATACTCAGATGGCAAGTTGAGGTAAGCACAAATAGAGTTAGTGACATTGTAAAAAGGAAATGAATATTATCTAATGCAGGGTCCTTACATTTAAGATTCTCAGGCATTCAATATTTCATTTCATTATAGAGCACTGTAACAATGTAGAAATAGGACTATAATGCTGACAGTCATCAGTAGAGTAGTGGTGTGAAAATAAATGGATGATTTAAAAAATAATTTGAATTTGAAATGTATTTTACACACAGCCTTATGAAGAGAGCACCAATGTGGGCAAAGAAATAGCTCTGTTCTAGTCCCAACAATGACACTAATTAGCTGTATAATAAGCAACTCACTTTCCATAAGGATCCTTCCAGTTCTATGTTCCATGTTCTAAGGTAATGCCCACTTCTAACATTCCAAGTTCTAAGGTCCCTTCTGGTTCTGACATTCTGCGGCCTAAGATTCTTTCTTTGGATTTGTAAAAGAATAAATTCTGGCTCATATATTCTTTGCTCTAAGTTCGAAGGTCATTCCAGCTTTGACATTCTATGATTCTATAATATTTATATTGACACAACCTTTGGGAACCCAATCTCTCAATTCTTCAAATTCCTCAAAGACGTCTTCCTTTTTCCACTGGCCATCAGCAACAAAACTATATGACCACATCTTAGATGTTAGGATCTCTCATAATTACCCCATTTTCAAGATTCAGGAAAGAGAAATTCCACTCCCCAAACACGACATCCTATCCCATCATCCCTTCCACTCAAATTAAACGTACACTTTGTCCTTAGGGTGATCCATTCAACCATCCTAATTGCCTCATCTACTTCTGCTCCTCTGGCTTCATTTGCCTCTACCACCTAGCTATGGTGTGCCACTTTGCTATTTCAATAGCTACTACCCAAAACACCTGCCCTTTCATATTTGCTCCTGGCCTGAGAATGCTCCCGGCCTAAGAATTCTCCAACCTGAATAATCCTCACCACATCCATTTCTCTGCTTCTGCTCCATGCTTGCTCACTGCTGCTAGAGAAAATGATGAAGTCAAGCCTGTTTCAACGATAGTATATGACCTCACTTCTACCTTCACCACTACCCAACCATTGCCCTATCCTGCCCTCACCAACACCTTATATTATTCCCTACAACTGTTCCTAAAATTTTTTTCCTTCTCTCTCCAACAGCCCCGCCCCCAGCTCCCTAATGTACAGCAGATGGCCTTGCCTCCGTCACTGAAATTGAAACCACCTGGCACGAATTGCTTTTCCCCTCCTCCATTCCTCAGAATGGCTCAGGATCACTATTCATTTTCTTCTCTTCCCCTCTCATCACAGAGTTGTCCCTACAACTCAGACTTAATGCCTACCTGCACTTTTGACCCTGTATCTTCCCCTAAACCTCTCCCAGGACCTTGGCTCCAGCATTCGTCCCTTGCTTCATAGGCATTTTGTAGCTATTCTGCTCTTACCAGCTCCTCATATGCTTGCTTAGGACTCTGCAATCTTCTTTTTAAAGGCTTTCTCTGACCCTTTCATAGCGCACAGCTGCAGTCTCATCTCTCCCCACCTCTCCTTTCCCCGTAACCAGGCCCTCCCCCTGGCACTGCCTCCAAGACCTCCTCAACATCCTAGACATTTTCCTTTAGATAAACCCTAATTTATCAATGGCCTTCCTAAAATGAGGTACCCAGAACTGAAGACAATACTCCAAACAGCTTGACCACGGCCGAGCAGATACAGCAAGATTGTCACCTTTCATCCTGGACACTATGCCTCTCTTGATGAGGCCTAAGATTGAATTAGTGGTTTGATGCTGCTGCCACATAACTGACTCATAACTGAGCTTGCAATACACTAAAATTTTTCACCAGAAAACTTGTCTAACCATGTTTCTGTCATCCTTTAGATAATTTTTAGAAGCCAAGTGTAAGAATTTACATTTATTTCTACTAAATGTAATCTTACTAGATTTTGTTCATCATTTTGGCTTGTTGAGATCTTTTTGAATTATGACACCTCCATTGACCGTGTTAACGAATCTCTCCAGGATTCACGTCGTTTAAAACTTGATAAGCATGTCATCAAGGACTTTATCTGGGTCATCAACAAAAATGTTAAACAGCCCAGAGCCAAAGACAACTTGTTGTAGGAGATGGGTGCTGAACTGGATTCAAATTCTGTCTCAGACCCTTACTAACTGTGTGATCCCAGGCAAATAACTTCTCCAAGCCTCAGTTTTCTAATCTATAAATTGGGAATAATAATAGCACTTACTTGACTGGATTGTTATGAAGATAAAGTGAGATGATATGTATAAAGTACTGTGCTAATCTTAAAGTGCTTTATAAATGTTAGCTATTATTTATAATTATTACTATTATTTCAAGTTGACATTGGCCCTTTAATTAAAAATAACTCTTTTAATCAACTTATTCAACCTATTCCAACTCCACATAATTGTACATTAATTTAGCCAATATTTCTCTATTTTAGGGGTTGCAAACTATGGCCCATGAGCCTACCCACCTGTATTTCACAAATTAAGAATATTTTTACAGTGTGAAAACTATTTTTACAGTACATTTTTACACTGTAAAAACCATTCTTGGGGGGCAGCTAGGTGGCACAGTAGATAGAGCACTGGCCTGAAGTCAGGACAACCTGAGTTCAAATCCAGCCTCTGACCAGATGCTTGACATTTACTAGCTGTGTGACCCTGGGCAAGTCACTTAACCCCAATTGCCTAAAAATTAAAAAAAAAAAAAGAAAGAAAGAAAACCATTCTTAGCTCATATACAAATATAGTATACATATATATAGTATACATATATAGTATACATATATATAGTATACATATATAGTATACATATATAGTATATATATATGTGTACACACACATTAAGAATCTCTACTCTAGAAGAGAATATCATAATCAGGTACTAATATTGATAGACTTAACCCTTCTCAACAATACAAGGATCTAAGACATCTCCAAAGGCCTCATGATAGAAAATGCTATCCACATCCAAAGAAAGAACTATGGAGTTTGAATGCAGATCGAAGCATACTATTTGCTATTTTTTTTTCTTCTGTTGTGTTTTGTTTCCTCTTTTTGGTGGTTCCTCAGATTGGTTCTAATTCTACAACATCACTAATGTGAAAATATGTTCAATAGGAATGTATATGCATAGCCTATATCAGATTGTGCACCATCTTGGGGAGGAGGTGGAGAGGGAGGGGGAGAAAAATTTAAAACTCAAAACTTATGGAAGTGATTGTTGATAAATCAAAGTAAATTAATTTTGAAAAGTTAAAATTAAGTACTACAAGAGAAGAATGTAAATGCTGATAATAGTAGAAGACAGAAATCTGTAGATCAACTTTAATCAGATTACCCAAATGCTGACTTGGTTAAAAATATCTCATAATGTCCTCTGCTCTTTGTGTCATTCCCTACATCCTGGCTTCTGATATGACATGGACTCAAGGAAATAAAAATAACACTAATCATTCAAAAAAAAAATCTCTGCTCTAGAGATAGAACAACCTGTCCTTTCTGCTAGCACCATTAGAAACAGAAACACAACAGACTCTCCAGATGTAAGGTTCCTCTTGTCCTCCATCGTTCCTAGAAGGAAGACCTTCATGAATTCTCTATTTTCTTATTGTGAGGTCTTCTGGCCAACTTGTCTATTGTGCAGCTGTGGCCAACAGCCTCTCTGCCTGGCCTGTTTAACATCCTTGGGGCTAAGTTGCCATCCATGTGGAGATCTGCTCATTTTCAAACAGGGGCCCCTGAATGAGGCTTCATTAATTCATAGCATTCTTCATG